TGGTCGTTGAAAACTATTCGATCTAATGTCTGGTCGGAAGGAATCGATAATATGTCGTTGTGCTGGAGTCTGATCATACATACAAAATGTGACTTTATAGTTGAATGGAAATTTGAGAATTGGATCGTTCAAACTTCTCATAAGCACAAAAAAGAGTGACATATGTGTACGACGAGCATTTCCATCACCATTGAGATATAAACGTGCCCGCATTTTATAGCCAGTAGGTGATGAATAGAATGGTGGAGAGTAGATTGATGTTTGTCGTTCAGATTGTGCATCAGCTGGACATTAAGTAAAGTAAATCAGTAATGAAGAGTAGAAACATATAGAAAATAAATTTGACAGATCAACAATAGCGATAAGTAGCTGGACCCCGTGCAAATTGCACATTGCTTCTTTAAGACTATCCTTTAATAGTCATGGACTTGGATATATGTTCTCTCCTCTCACTAGCATGTTAGGCTCTCTCTGTTGTCCGCGTTCTGGGTGATATATCGTTATCTCTGTGTTTAGTTCCATATGTTCTGTCCTGTAGCTCTATGCATTAAATATTCTCCTCTCTTTTTGGTATTTGGAGAATGGAGGATTTATTGGTTAGATTGTTTTATTAAGAGATGTGTAGTTTGAGCTTGAGACATCATGTCAGCCTCTGATCTATATCTAACAGGCTCTCACTTCTGACCTTTGACCTGGTAACAGATAGTCGACACCATGTATGTAGATTCATTTGGTCAACACGTTGATCTATGATCCAAGCATTGCATCCTTCAGTGATTAAATAGTATGGGAATTATGATGTTCAACCATATGTTTATTATTTATCAATGTTGTACAAATCGAATTACTTTTTATTCTCTGATTATTCTTTTGAGAAATATTCTACTTTATCAGTTATGATAAGTGGTTATTCTACTTGCTCATTTTCTCTTGGAAGTTTGTAATTTTCCATACAAATATGCTGTCATATGAAACATATTGCATATCATTGATCTTTTCTTTCAGTGATGCCAAATCTTGATTAAGAATGTCTTGATTCTGTTTCACTCCCTCTAAGAAACTGTGTGATTCTTCGACAGATAATTTAACTTGCGAAAAGTGTTCTGCCAATTCCTGAAGTTTAATTTGACATTGAAGTGATTCATTGCTGAAACGTTGTCCATCATTGTTCAATGTCTCAATGCCACCTGCTAAGATGTTGAGTGTTTCGTAAAGCTCCTGCATTTCAACTGAACCATGATCCCCAGCTGGTCCTACAGTTGTTCGAGGGACGTCAGTCTCCACTTGTGTATCGAGTAATTGTAATCTCATTTGATGAACAACTTTGAGTATGGCTTCTTGATGTTGTTTTGTCAAATAGTGTTCCTCCTTTTTGCCACGGATGATCTAAACGAAACAGATTTTTAGATGTTGGATTTTAACTATAGAATACCTAAGCAGATTTTGAAAAATATATGACCGACGCGACGAGCGGTCGAAAATTTGAAAACATATTTTTGTTCGTCCTATTCGAATTTCGAGCACTCCAAAACTGTGTTTCGCCGAACACTGATTGTCCACTCACTAAGCACCTTTTAATAATTCGGTGTCATCGACGTTTCGACCACTCGTAGGAAAAATCCCGTCGAAAGCATACTGTTGACTTCTTGAACTCATTCAAAGCACTTGGAACTTATCGACGTTTCGACTAGTCGAGGAAATAAAACATACCGAAAGAATACCTTCGACTAATCGGTCTAGCTTTGATGATACGAAACTTCTTTAAAATTCCATTTTAACATATTCTTTACTTTTATTCAGTGATCTTCGCAGAATTATTTATGTTCAATATATGTTTCTCTTCAATTTCATAATTTTCTAAGAAATATTTATCACCCACTAGCCGTGATCATGAAAGCAGCCCGCCAATACTATTGACGAAGACAGTCGTACAGAAATTTCAGGTTTTGAACTCTTGAAAATAGAGAATACTTCCTATTCCGCGATGTTGCACATTGCGAAACCAGTTCCGCCACCGAAATCAGTTCCATCCAATTCCCGGAATTCGATCGCCATTGAACCTAAGAGACCCACTCACCATTGATCGAGTTCTATCAATTCCGGTAATTCCGCCCATGGCGTAAATTTCTGCGAAAAGAACGCGTTTTCCCATGATTGTGAAACGCGTTAATGCTGATCGGATTGACGCGTTTCACATCTGCTAAAACAGACTCTGTGGAACGATTGTTTTCCTAAAAGATTCCGTAGCGTTTTTCAAACTGTGGTGTTGTATATTATAGACGAAAAAGAACGGAAAACCGTCAATTTCTTCATATATCTTGAGTTGCAGATACAATTCATGTACTCGTTTACATCTTTCCATACACTTTTAGAGCTGTAATTTACATGAATTTTAATAAAGTCAGGACATGGATTCGAACACGAGAACATAAGAGTAGAAGACATGTGTACAAAACGTTCAATTAAAATAATCTAATGAAACAAGTGTTGATTCTACTGTCATTCAGAATCTTGCTCAAATGTATTAAATTAGATTTTCAGTTTCCCATTTCAATGAATTAAAAACTATCATTTCTTTGGTACCTATATCCAATCACGAATATGATCCCCTCTTAATATCTTTTTTATTTAAACTCTTTCAAACTTAAATTTAAATATCCAACAGAAATGAATTTAGTTGATTTAAATTGTGTTTGATATTTTAAAAATTGAATTTCTTAGATATAAACTTTAAAAAATTTAAAATTTATTCTTTTTAATTGTTTTCTTTATTTAATAGATTTTTGTAAATGTAAATTCGTCATGCTTATATCCAATTACATCACTAAATGGAAGGAATTTTCTTTTGTAAGCGAATCTTTTTTGTGAAAAAGTCACGCTTACATCTACAATGTACAAACTAAAACCATATTTAGTAGTATTGTACACAGTATCATCAGTCACTATTAAGTAGTCCAAATATGAATTCGTACTAATAATTATTCAAATTATAAACAACGCGAGAATTCTCTTCTTCAAAAATAACCAAACCAAGTTGTCGTATTCATTATATTAGAGTCAGTCTTTACTAAATCTTTCAAATTTTTCAATTTTTAAAACAATTCTTGGTTGAACGTTACGGAACGCATTTTCTTTCAATAAAAACGTGTAAAGAAATGAGTTTTCAAAGAAGAAGAATATATTTTTGTTACACTTTGATGTTCAATATTAGTCTAACTTCGAATCAGATTTAGATAACAGCCTAGCAACTCAAACTTTTAGAAGAATTCGATTTTAATCTTGCTTTCAAAAAATTTGGATCACGATTTTCATGTTCTAAAACAGTGCAAGGAGCAAAACTTTCAAGTACTATTTCATATCATTTCCAAAATAATGTTAAAGAGTTTACTTTGCTTAACTCATATACTTTGTGTGGGTGAATTTCTGCAAGATTCTGTATGCAGAACGGATGTATTTTGCATCATTCCAATCAAAAACAATGCAACACGCGTTTGAAAAAGAAACGCGTTTTACGTTTCCCCAATTTGTATCTGTGGAACGTGTCACCTGTCGACCAAAATGCATTCGACAGCATTTTAATTCGGAAACGCCTCGAAACACAATCTTGAAGAAAGCGTTTCGGATCGTTTCAAAAAACGACGGCAGTAAAACGGATTGTATGCAAGTAGGAATGCTGCAAAACGCATGCTACAATATCGGAAACGCGTTACGCAGTTCGTTTCCTTCAATATTTTACTCTATGGGCGGAATTCAATCCAATTCCGGAATTCCTGACTGAAATTAGGTCGCTCCCTCACCCTCATGCATACTAATGTGCTGAAAGATTAATGCATTCAATTAGTATCCAATTTCGGTACGAAGTTCTGGGAATTGAGTCAAGACGGAATTGCACGGAATTCCGAGAATTGATGAAACTTGATCAATGTCGAGTAGTCCTCTTATTTTGTATGACGATCGAGTTTCCGGAATTGGATGGAACTGATTCCGTAATGTTCAACATTGCGGAATAGAATGACTGCTCTGAAAATATTTTCAAATCTTGATTGTATGGTTTATCATACAAATCGACTGAAAGTTCAAAAGACGAACACAAGTGTCAAAATATTATTTTCATTTCAAGTGAAAAGATGGCTTTGATATAAGAATTCTAATTCCTACTTAAAATTTAGATGCTCGTCGAAAGTTAATCACAAGCACCGGCGTTCAAATCTCCTCCGCATATATTCGATAGCTGTCGACGACTAGGAAATGAGATATCTATCAAACAAAGATCTTTTTTTTATGTTCATCAAATTCTGATCCTTTCGAAACAATAGTTCTAGCGGTCTAAACCTGCCCATCGAAGTAAACTAATGTCGAGCCCTCGATCAGTGGAATGGCCAACTCAATTGAGATATCCATACTTGCTGATTACAACCAAAACCTTTCAACACACAATTGATGGTTAGGTTTTGACATTTCAAGACTTTATGCTCATTGAGTTTGTTGACTGAGTTGAACTGCTGATCACAATAATCGCATTTTGGATTTGGATGAGATTGATCGAGATGCTCCTTTGAAGAAAAAAGAATAGAATGCTTAGAAATAAGATAAGTATAGAAAATATTACTTGATAGTTACTTAAGACATCCGACCATTGACAAAAAGAACAATCGATAGGTAGTGATTGCATGTCGCTTTTGAAACCGCGATCGATCATCATCTAAATCACAAAAAAACAGTGTTTTATTGAAAGAAAAGAAGATATCTCACTTGATTGCGTGGTATTTCTGTTTGACATTGTGGACACTTGATTGTCGTGCTAAAAATAATAATGAAGGATGTTAATTCAAGTTAATAATGAAACGTACTCATATTCAGCATCGAAACATGATTGACATAGACGATGACCGCATATGTTCAATTGTACTGGATCTCGAAGTATCAATAAACACTTAGGACAAGTATATTTTGTATCAAGAATATTCTTGTTCCTTGCGTCAATACCAACCATTTGTTTATATTTAGTTTTTGGAAAAGAATATTAAATTTATATTAAAAAAATTATATTAAATCTTAACTATATAGAAAATTATTGTGAATAGCAGATATTTTTGTTTTAAATTTATCAATATATATGACAAGAATGTATTAAAAATAAGAAAAATATTTTGATTACCTGTAAAACAGACAGTACTTACAGAAAAAGATGATATATATGATTTCTGAAATGAAGAATCTGAAATATTAATATATTTTAAATTCAGAAATGAACTTGAACGTACGAACAAGTAAGCAGAATTCGAATTTGTTGAATGGAAGCAATCAAGAGTCTACTAATGTTTTGTCTAAAATCAAAGAAATTGTGCAATACTTCAGAACATAAGAACATTAAAATAATAGAACTCAAAGAAAGTTTTATGGAAATAATGTCAATAATCCTGAACGCTGAATTATTTAAATAAGTTTTCGTCTTCCTTATTTGGTTATGTACGAGGGCATTAGTCATATTCGTATATACGAAATAAATATCAAATAGCTGACGTGGACAAGAAAAAGATGAATGATATGGCGTACTTTTCTTTTTCGCAATACTGGATGAAAATTACGAAAACGAAATGCAATAACAACTTTTTTTGTTTATCTGCCGACCTAGATATCGGACACCAATCCTGATCGATGCGCTGCACATTTTGCTTCACAAAACGAATATACTACACATAAAAATTATAAATACTTTTTTTGTGTTTAAAATATCAATTAAAATTTTTGCGAAATAAATTTATTAATCGCTAACCAAAATCTACTGGCCAATATTGTTGCGAATAAAAAACATTGGGTATTTTCTTAAAGAAAAGCATAAATGATAAAAAAGAACAATATACTTATTTCACTGATTCTAGAAAGATAGATAGTTTGGTCTTTCCTATTAGAGTTTTTATACAATTATCGTGTAATCTCAAATCTATAACATACTTATATGTCTTGTCTGAAAAATATCAGACACTTATAGCAGGAATTTATTCAGGAACGTATAATACTAGTCAGTGAAAATTCATCAATGTTTTCAGTTTTGTTTGTATAATATCACTGGTAATACTTCAAAGCAGAATTTTGAGTTGCAAACAGCCTTAGTAAAAGAGCCCTTTTATACTAATAATGGAAGAAATATTCAATTATTTATCGATAAAGAAACGTTTTAGTCACATTGAGCTATAAATCGACAAATCGAAAAAATATTACTCATTCTATAGAATAATAAATGGATTTATAATGATCGGAAGAAAAAACGAGAAATTTTCTTAAAATGATTCATTGCTGTTTGAGATTCT